TGTGAAAAAATAAAATTATATCTAGAATTATATTCAAATTTCTAAAAGTCATTACACGAATTGAAAAGTATTTAACATATTTAAGAAGAATATTTCTTAAAGATTTAGCAAAAATAAATTCGATTTCAAATTAAATTCATAATTTAATAGAATATAAATATATTCCGATTAATAGAGATAATATTTCATGAATCTTTCAATTATTCATATCGTTAAATTAAAAATTTTTCAATTCCGAGAATATCTATTATGTATTCTTCATCGAATCACATAATCATAATTTTAATGAAATCTCGGAAAAAAAGACAATTTAATCATACTTCAAAACCATATATCTATATCATTATCCATATTCTCCTAACTAAAATACATTTTCTATCGAAATTTCTAAGGTGCAATATATATATATATATAGTTCTCATGTTTTGTCATTCGACATCTAATATCAAATATAAAATTTTCAATTACCCCTAATTATTTCAATTTTTCATAATAAAGATAATCAATTTATCCAAGACTTACTACTATGTGCGCAATTCGGACAAATCAAATAATAACATTACCCTTAATCATAATAAAAAAGAATATAATCATATTTCGTATTTTCGAAGATTACATACAAGTTAATCAAATTTTTTTCTCCCTTCAATATATCTTAAATTTTGGATGTGAATCTTCCTTTTTCGGAAGATATGAATATCATTTCCAATATTGCTTTCGAAATTAATGCTTGTCATATGTTTATAGACATGACCCTTTAACATATTATCTTAGCAATTATCTCGTTATTTCTTTGTCAGGTCGCTTCTCATAAACAAAATCAAAATTTTATGGAAAATCATAACCCACTAGTTTTTCTTGTATTTTCGAATATTTTTCCTAGGCAATAGCCATGCAAGATAGCATGCAAGTAAAAGGACAAGGGGACTGCCAACTATCTTGGAGCGGCTCCATCCACTTTATGCTCCCCTGCCTCGACCTTGTTCAAGACTGCACTTGCTGCATGTCTGCAGCACTTTGAAGGGTTCTCACGTGGTCCTGTTTCTTGGACGTGTTCTTGTGCAACGGCGAGATACACGGAAGGCAGAGCCCTGTCGTGGCGAGCGTGGCTCCGTGTGGGTACTGAGCGGAGTCTGGACTGTTTTCTGCCTGCCAAGGCATTGAGACTCAATCCGAGTCGGAATCGTAGGCCGGAGTTGGCAGAACAACATCTGACAGATCCGTCCGCCACTGCTCCGTCCCCACCTCAACCATGACAAATGCATGCGGGTGCCTCACTCTGCGAACGAGACCAATCGGCTGCGCAAGCGGCACCTCGAAGTTTGACATCGCTGCCGGCATGGCTTGCATTTCGGCCTGTCTTCAATGGCTACATGAACTCGCACTGAATCCACTGCGGCACTTACTAGAAACTTCCTCCGCGAGCACTCAACACGTACCTGGGTTTTTCTGGCACCCCTGCCTTGTCCTGACTGTGCAACTCATTCGAAACGGTTGGGTGATCAACTGTTTCCACGGGAGGAGGAAAGTCCGGACATAGTTGCGGATGCCTGGAGCAACACAAAGACGTCTGCAGCACTTTCCCACAGCACAGTGCTTGCCTCGCGCAGATTTCTCGGCGCTGCAACGCGTCCGCTTCTGGAGTCGGCTCTGCCTGACATTCCAAGGTGTGGTTCAGCTCGTGCTGAAGCCTTGTCTGGTTCTCACTGGCAGCCCTGGTATGTTGTCTACATGCTCTTCTCCCTCGTCTCATGTCAACATGCTGAGCAGTGCGTTAAAAAGAAAACACTCACCAAAGTGCTTGGAGCGATGCAAAGGGATATTGCCGAGGGTGATCATATCCGTAGCAAACGAAAAGCTCCTCAGCTTCGTGTGCCATGTGCTTCTGCCGCTCCAAACATCCATTAAACTCCAAGTGATCCACAGTTCTGGGCACAACAGGTTTGGAGATTCCGCCTCGGAAGTTGGAAATCCGAGGCCGAGTGGCGCTTCCTGCACGGACCAGCTGCTGCGTGCAGAAGAACACGGCCTCAGCTTGACTCCCACACATTTCGTTGGTGGCATATTCACCAAGACCTTGCGAAGAACCAGCAATGCTTCTTGGATGCCCAGTCTGCCAGTAGTATACTTAAGCTTAAAGGAGCCTAACAAGCCCTCAAGATGTCTGCGCAAGACCCTTGAGCCCCTTAAACAAAACGGCAAAAACTGGCGCCGGAGATCACCACTCAAAAGTCTCGTGAGGCTTTGGCAGGTGGAAGTCCAGCCCGTAGGCAGTACAGGGCAAGCGTGTTGTACCTTCACACAAACTCAGACTCGACATGGGCTCGATTATCTCCGACCTGGCATTGGCTCAAGACATGTTCTTGGGCGCCGAAAGCGTTGGCTGCTATCTTATTCAACCTTCTCGCGGGAGCACTCTCCATCTAGAGGTGCTTCGTTCGTGAAGGCCATAGACCTAGGTATGCAGCTGCTGAAATGACAGGAGGAAGATGATACATGGGCTGCGATCTGCGCGGGGAGTATGATTAACATCCGCGGCAGCAGCATGCCCAACTACAACGCGACTCTGTTCTGGAGTGTTTAGTCGGCACGTCTCATGCTAGCCCAGGACCAGACTCGGCACGTGATGGGAGACAGCCCCAGCCGTTAATCTGTACGAACGCAGTGAAGGATGTGTGCATGGCATGGCTGCTGCTCCAATCGCAAGCATTGCGGCACCGCTTTTGGTCCAAAGCTTCATGCTCCAAGTCTTGCATTTCGGCGCAAGCCGTTTAGGCGCTGTCGAATCCCCGCGTATCTGCAAGCACACAGCTTGGGAGACATGAAATGCTCAATGTGCCTTCTGTGCAAAAGAAGCTTTACCTGACGCACTCATTCATTCCCAGATTGAAAGTAGACTGAACCTAACATCCAATGATATCCAATGATGAAGACTGAGTTCCAAAAGCAACTCTCAATAGTGCTGCATGATGAGCAGGATGCAGATTGCAAGGGCCGACACGATGAAACGGACCCCGAGCTTGAAGCTCCAAATGTGTCGGAGTCCTGCTTCGCAGCTCGGCGAGGCTGATGGTGCGCCGGCGGGCTTCCTCCAGTGGAGCCTGGCAGAATTCTGGCACTGCGAATAGAATCTGGCTATAGCATATAGCATACTGCTATCGATGTTGTATCAAGAGTAAGTGCGTGTGTGTGTGTGTGTGTGCGTGTGCAAGGCTCAATACCGCACTTCAAGCACCCTCGACTCCTCGTGAGGCTGCACCGACTCTACATCTCCCGTAGTTGAGCCAGCTGCGCCTTCAGATCCACACTGGCCAAGAGGGCTGCAAGAAGAGCTGCAATCCTGCCGAGTACTGAAACTCCGCATCCGGCCCAGTTTCGTGCCACGGCAGCTCCTAGCTCTACAGCGAGCAAGTCCGGCTCTACTTTGGCTTTAAAGGCTTTAGAGTTCGGTCATGTGGACGCTCATCGCGCTGCCCGCCATGCGGCTGATCGTCGACTCGGAGAGACTCCCCAGGTGCCAATGATGCGGCTTGAAACCTGTCGGCAGCTTCACAGTACTGTGCCCGGGACGGTGTAAACGGGTCTCGGGTGGCCAACCTTGTAGCAGCATCATCTCCTCTCCGCGGAGTACACGCTGCAACCTCGGTGCAAAGCCAGCTCTGCAGTGCTCGTTGGGGGATCCGGCGCTAAAAAGGCTCACGTTGAAGCCCAAGGGATCTCCTGGCCTGTAGGACCAAAGCCTGGTGTTGGCAGCCAGAGGAGGGATCTCTCCCGTGAAGCTCAAGGATGCCCGGTGTGCATCCTGTCGGTTCACTTCTTTCAGATGTTTGAGACTTCAACCAAACACTGCCTTTGGAGCTTCAACATCACAAGCAATGTCTCGCGCTCCTGTGAGATGGAGACAAAGCGGATCTCGCGCCCTTGGCTCCGTGCACGAAGCCAGTGTATCTGGCACAGGTCCGCCTCCCTGTAGGTGCGGAGCCACCTGAGTATCGGATAGTAGTGGGGACTGCGAGTATCCCGCCCCCTGTCGTGAATCGTCAAGAGAATAATCGATTAGTCGAGCTTGAAGCGATACCCGGTGCGAATCTTACCTTGACAAGGACCTCCAGCCCAGAAAGCAGAATTCACATGAATTCACTGGCCCAAACACTTGGCCAGCTGTGGTCCTGCTTCCAAAAAGTAGGTCAGGTCATCGGCTGCAAGCCGAAGTTCGTGCCGGAGCCTTCTGTGCAAATAGCTGGCCTGCGTCTTGCTCGGGCAGCAGTAGGAATCACATGCAACTTCAGCCCTGCAGGTGGTGACCCATATGAGCCATGCAGCATCGGATGTCATCGCCAGGAGCGACTCAATCCCTTTAGACTCCTCGTCGACGCTCGAACTCGAGCTCCTCCGAGCGATGCCAGTGAGACCCAGCAGACCCGGGACCCATCTCCAGCCTATGCACCCTAGGCCTAAGGTTCAATCCGAAAACCCCCGGGTACCCCTCGCGCTACGGGTAGCAACCCTCGGTCCCGCTTGCATCGGTGTCCGAATTCAGTCGGCCACCAAGGCGAGGGCCGCTGGGTCCATCGCTGCTGAGGCTCAGGAGGTCTTCTGCGTCCGGGCTCGGGCTGGAGTTGGCCTTAGAGCTCAGAGATTCGCACTTCCCCACGACCGATGAAGCGTGTTGCCCCCTGCTTTTCATTATTTCCCGCTTGGGCGGCAGCTACCGCGAAATGACCACTACCTCTAGACTGCATGATCCAAGCCGTTGCTTGCAGTGGGCCGCAAATTTGCCCACCTTACCCCTGAAGCCTTTTGTCTTTAGCTGGGGCACCACGTGGACATGAAGTTGTTCAAGTCCTTCTCTGACTCGCTCAAGCTGAGCCTCTCGCGGCAGCAGACTGTGTGTTTTTGAGAATCCGGTCAGAGGCTGTGTTCTGCAGGGCTTGTTGTTTACTTCGGTATAGTTTCGAAGAAGACTCATGCCATTCAGCATGAGGAACCGTATGGGATCCTTTAGGCACTCATTGAAACTCTAAGTCAAACATAGACCCTACTCAGCCCTCCGCTATGTACATGCTGCAACAAGCAGACTAGAGGCAGCAACATGGAGAGGAGCAGGAAGTGTTGCGGATTCGTGTCTGAATAGTATTTCTACATACTTCCGTCACACCTGGTTGTGGCGATGCTTATCTCGCTCTCTTCACTTCACTTCACTCCGGGGTGCGGGGAGCAGGTCAAGCTCCCCGCGCCTAAAGGCGCGCCCCTGTTTTGAGGCGTTTTAGGGGAAGTTCAACAGCAAGCACACCTCAAAAAGATATGGTTCCCATCTTTGCTTTGCTTTGCTAGGGGTAAGAGGAGGTGGCAACCATCTCTCACTCTCTCTCTCTCTCTCTCATTTCTTTCGCTCTGTTTCTTTAGTCACAAGTCGCGGTTGTCCGGGATTTCGGATGTGCCTGCAAAGCGCAACTGCCGAACTGGTAGTGTTTTGGCATCGGCCGATTCACTTGGGCGTTGGGAAGAGCTTGCATGTACTGCCTACTTGTTTCGCCAATGCAGGAAATCGACTCCACTGGCAGAGTAACGTTGATTGGTCGGGGCACTAACACATCACCTGGACAGGATTGGGTGAGTGGGTTTGGACAAAGTGAGATTCCACCCGTAGCTAATGTGCCGCTGAGCAGTTTGAATTGACTTGCGGGTGCCACAACACGAAAGGCCCAGTGGGTCCATGCAAGATGAAGCGATCTGCAATCTCACAGTGGTTTTCCACCCGGGCCCATTCTGAGTGGAAACACCCTACGAGAAAATGCAACCATTCCGAACACGTCAGTACTTCTGGCAGTTGTGCTCCCTCAGCAATGAAGAAGCGACAGAATCAGCAACGCTCATGCAGCAGTGGCACGTAATAGCCTTTCATTACAATCATGAAGCTCCTACCGCTGTTCTCACCCAAGTGCATGAACTTGTTCGGGGCCTTCTCAGCTCAAGCACCAAAAAATACGAACACGATAGTTTAGTTGGCCGACCTGACCTTTTCGTGGTATTTGTCGGCCACTGTTGGCATTGTGGGGTTTTGTCGCCATCGCCAGTACCACTGTCGTTCATCATTTCTTGCTTTGTGGTCTTCGTGATGTTCGTGGGGGTGCTGATGGCTGCGGCGGTTGTATTTGAGGCTTATATTCCGGGCTCTCGGTTGTGGCTGTTCTTATGCTGAGGCTAATCTTCTTGTGAGGTATCAACTCACCGTGGTTGATAAGTGTGTCTTGCCGCAACCCGGAGCCAGCATCGTTTCCAAATGTGTACAAGCGAGTAGCAGAGTAGCAGCAGAAGGCACTCTTTGAGCCAACCCAAGACCGCGAAGGTAGTAGCCAGATTCGCAAGCACACCTAGCAGACCTAGCATAGTATTTCTTAGATTTGAGTGCAAGACTCGTCCCGAACCACCCATTGGATTCGGTCTGTCGCAGTGGAACTTTGCCTGCGCATCTCGATCGCGTCCAGACCTTCTGGCAGGCCGAAGAAATTGGCGACCAACCATGACCTCTCATGACCGGGTTGGAACTTACAACTTCCACTGCAGCGACGACAAGTGTGACAATTTTTCCTTGTGACATTTCTTGATATTGCTCGTCCGAGCTTTTCCTTCTGCTTGCGTGCTCGCGACGTAGTAGACACGCTGTCTGCGCTGGGGCAGCCCATAGTTGGATGCAAGTACCTGCCGACGCACCGGAATCACAGGCTTAATTTAAGGAGCTCTGACTCTACAGCTGACCGTCTGAAAGATTCTGAAAGGCCCCGGACTGGACATGTGTTGCTGATTTTTCCTGTCTGTAGTGGCGTGCCCATGCCACAATGCGATGCTTGAAACTTAACAGCAACAGCCCACAGACTTTCGACTCAAACTCCGCTGGCAAGCATCCGAGTGGCCTGGAAGGCATCTACTTCGTAATCTCCAGCTTGCTCGAGAAGAGCAAGAATCGCATCTGCTGGAAGGTTCCCTTGTGGATCCTGCTTCGAAACCATTGTCCAAAAAAGGTCAAGGGAATACCCAACATGCCTGTTTCTCCTGTCTGACTGGAGCCTGAAAAGCTCGGCATAGACACTTGCCCTTCAACTGTCTAGTTGAAATCTGGTTTGGCCAAAGGCACAGTGCCGTTCCCTTGTTGATCAAGGTGCATCCAGAACTTGATACTAGAAGCCGCAATTGCACGTGGAACCAGTCTAGGTCCCTAGTGTTCTGTAAAGGGGCTCCTGTCTGCAGGCTGCTACCAGGTCTTCCAGTATCACCATGCGAGGTTGGTACTCCATGATGTACTTCACGGCTGCAAAGAAGCGGTCGGGATTTGGGCCGTGTGTGCCAGCATTGGAGATGTAAATGTCGGGCTGCACCTCTGTTCAGGGAACATGAATTCACGGCTTGGAGCTCTCTCTATTACTCTCTGTGCTGTGCATGCTGTGCCCACTGCCGGCCTTTGGCATCGGCATCCACCGTCCGGACACGAGGCAATAGCAGCCGCGGTCTCGGCCAATCATGCTGCCAAACAAGCCTCTGGCAGGAGGCTTGACAGAGGATGCTTCGAGTTGATGCCATCGGTTTTGCTAACGACTGGCTGTGCATCTTGCCCTGCTAGTACTGGGCGAGGGCACGTTCTGGTCTGGAGTCTGCCTGTGATGCCAGGAGCTGCTGACCTGGGTCTGAGGTTAGAATCGGCTAAAACACCCTCCACGCAGCACAGCCTCGCACTGTAGCTGTGCGGCCCTGGTGCTCGAGGGATCGGACTCACAGGCGAAAATGTGCCTGAACGGCACCCCCAGGTCGGACAGCGCCTTGAGCACGGCAGCACGAAAAGAGTGAGACGCCAACCTTTTTGAGGGCTTCTGCTACGACCGCTGCCACTTGCAGTTCGGCAGCCGAAACCGGGCCGACGCTGCCGCCGCAATCGGTCGCCAGCGCCAGCCTGAGACGGGGCGGGTATCGAATCGGCCGCGGCCGCGACGCAGGGGAACGTCGCATTGCTGTGCGCTTCTTCTCTGCCCGAGGCGCTCCCTCGGAGGCAGCCGGGCACCAAGCAGCGGGAGCCAGGAGGCCTTGTCCGCGCTGTCGGCTCCGCGCGCTCTCTTGGATGCTCCCAGGATCTCAGGGCCAGGTCGCTTCGAATATGCCATAAGAAAAAGGGCTATGTACAGGCACGAGCTCTCCAGCCAGAAACGTCTGCGGCATAGAACGGCAGGATGCTCGAATTCCATCACATCCCTGTCGAAGGTTTGCCTACATCACTGGGGGCTCAACAAAGATTCTGGATGCAAACAACCATGCTCATCCGTGGGGTCGACCTGGTGCGGAAGATAAGCGAAAAAGAGCTGTGCCTTGGTGATAACTTCGAGCACTCGACTAGAAGACCGGGTCGGAGATAGAAGGGGTGCAGCTCACTGTGGCCTCAAGTAGCGTTCAGAGCGGAGCCGCCAGCTTCCATCCTTGTTCAAAGAAGGAGCCTAGTCGATCAACTTTGGCACCGTACGAGGCCTCGGATGGCATGACGCACCACCTCCCTCGGTGGGAGATATTTGTAACCCCTTTGCCACTGGCTCCTTGGCCGAAGCCACAACAAGCGATGGGCTAATTGTTTGCTCAAGAGCATGCGCAACGTATGCTCATCTAGACCACCGGATATCTATTGTCCCATGCACGCCGAGCTTGCCACCAGATCTTTCACTTCACCCGTGTACTCGCCAATTATGATGAAGGGTTCGATGTCCTCAAGCAACGAAAAAGAGATGAGCCGTGTTGATCGCAGCGGCTGCTGGGTATGACGAGCGACAGGCGAACCAACGGCTGCCTCTCTCTTAGACCAACTGCATCTCGATGCTAAGGAGTGTGTCGCCAGACTTTGGCGATCGTAAAAAGCTTCAACAAGTTCGGCACGAACCCTGGGCAAATCTGACTCGGGAAGGCCTCTGCTGCGAAGAGCCCCAATCCTGCACCCGGCACCGTGGAAGGCCGCACAGCCAGCGCAGCCGGGCCTGTGCAGCAGTCGGCCCTGACAACAACAAATAAAACAACGACGGTCGACTACATCACCACCACTGCGGTTGGTAGCTTGCGCGAGTGAGTTTCTACATGTTTGGGTCTCCTCATGCCTCAAGAAATCTTGTGACATCTTGTGACGGCTTACATTTGACACCGCAGATGTGCCATCCCTCTATCATCTGGTTGATGCGAACATCCTCCGTTCATCGCCGTTCGGCTTTGCGCTGTTGCTTGTCTTGCTTCTCCCACCTGCCGGTCTGCAGCACCCGCACTTTCCAGTGACTGCTCTTGGGCAAGTTTGTTGGCGGCACATCGAGGCAAGTGTATCTTCCTGGTGATGCTACAGTCTTGAACCTCGGGCATTGAACGGAGGTGATAAGCGATGGAAACGAAAGCTGTGCTTGTTCCTAGGATACAATATCAACACACTGTAGGCAGCATGTCTTGGAGCTACAGCGCACCAAGAAGAATGGCCAGTCACACTTCAACGAATGCTGGGCATGACCCAGAACCCAGATCAAAGGCGCGAGATGCGCAAGGTGACAGTGATGGAAGATGCGACACAAAAGCGAGACTTGGGCAGGGAAGGTGCGAGTGCAATCTCACCTGCGCTATGCAGCTGCCTGAGACGAGCTTCTTCCCTGGCCAGCCTATCTCTGGAGCGCCAGGGGCTTCTGCCAACATCGAAGGGGTGCTTCCAGCAGACATGTGCCATTCTTGGCGCCCAGGAGTGAAAAGTTTTTCCTTCATCTATCACAGTCCTTTCGCTTATATGTCTTGATGCTCCAGTTTGCAAGTGAAGGATCTCCACAGCACGTGTCAGGCAGCTGTCGGACTTGGTTGATTGTGCTTGTTGGCAGCAGCTGGGGCCGACGGTTGGGGATTCCAGTGTAGTATCAGCCTAGGGCTTCTTGTGATTTTCTCGCTCACGCGGCTACAGCACAAGTGCAGAAGTGTAGTCTGCAGCATTGTTGCACCAAGTTCAAAACACTCTCAGAAATGGCTGAACAGAAGCCTTTTTACTTGAGCAGGAGGTCCGCCAATGCGGGTTTATGGCCCCCCTGTACAAGTCTCAGAATCTTGGTGAGGCGATCGTTCGGAAGGAACGCGCCAAGAGTAACCACCTGGACTGCGTCAAGCAACACTCCTGAGTTGAATATAAAGACTGTGCAGATCAGCCCGGAAAACAGCACGTGCCATCGGAGCCAGGAAACAGGCTCTAACCAGTGGGTAACCATGCGAGCCTGACAAGGCGTGGCATGTAGCAGTTCTTGAAGCAGGAATCGGACTTCCCTCCTGCTTAACTAATTTGCTTGCAATGGGTCGCCAGCCTGAATCGGGAAAGCGAACTCGGACTCCTGAGAGGAATGAATGACAAAAGAGCTCCCGGGCACTCGAGCTTGCAATCTTCGTCTGGCTCCTTAAGCTCCGACTCTGTCACATGGACGACATCCTGCAAGCTGCGCTCAGCTGACCCTGAATGCAAAGGGTCGGACTTGATTTTGAAGAATGCTCTCACTTCTTTTTGTGCAAGAGCTGGTTCTGAAGCCTCCGGGAAAGAAAGGTACTGTTCTTGCAGGTCGACCCTGCAAGTGCTCGTGTCATAGGTCATAAATGCAGACAGACATCGGTGTTCTTCTGCTGGAATCCGCTTTGACTCCACTCAAGTCGAAGTTGAGGCTTTGGGCCTCGGAGGCCAGGTGTCGATCGCGCTCATCCACCGCACAGAAGTAGCCAGGCTCATCCTGAGCGTTGCCTGACAGTCTAGGGGATTCGGGATACCTAGGGCCTAGGGTCTGCTGTGTCAGTTTCTCCGGGTTCGGGTGGAAGTTCTCCGGCAACCTGTGGTAGACTTCGCTATGATCAGGCCAACCTCGGGTCCCTACGAGGTTTGGAGCCAGAATTTTCATGCCTCAGGTGATGTCATGTCGAGAGCAGACCCATGACCCTTTCCCTCCAACTCGAGCCTGAGGCGCTGAAGTAGGGTTCGCCTCACTCAGCCCACAGCCCTCAGCATGTCTTAAAGAAGTCGGTGTCTCTGGAGGCATGTCTGAGGTCAAAGCACAGCAGAATGGCACATCGTAGCTCTCCGGGCCGCAACACTACGCAAGATCCTCAGGGCACGTTGGGCCACATCCCTCGGGTAAGCGGAACGTCAGTTTAGATCTCCGCTTCACTGGGGGAGCGGCCGGGCACAAAGTTTTTGCCTCGGAGAAGCCGGGATCGCGCCTCCTTCACATTGACTGCAGGATTTCGAACCCTACTGTGACACTGAACCTAGTATTTAACACTAGCACTGGCGAATCCTGAGAGACTTCCATCGGAAATCCAAATCCGCCTCGCCAGGCCCTCAGATTTCATATACAGCTTCGCGACTTTCACTCCTTCTCCAGCAAGAACTTGCAATCTCGGCTCCAACGAAGCATTTCGGCCGTGCCTCTGCAACAGACCAACCTTCTCCAGCTCAAGCCTGTCCAATACCTCAGCGACAATCTGCTGACAAGTCGCCATCATCTTGCCTAAACTCCGAATCACAATACTGCCGCAAAGGGGCACCCTGAAGTTGCCTCCGCACCATTAAGCGTTGAACCTGTTGCAATTAGCTTGACTCAAACTACAATAAAAAGCAATACGCCTTCCTCGACGAACGAATGAGTGGATGCAAAAAACAAGTCCCATCGTCTGTCAGCTTTGCCGACTCCGGGCTCTACTCTGTGCATTCAGAAACATCTGCAACAGCTTCCACCACTTGCCTTGTACCGAAGGAAATCTTCCGCCCACGCCTGCACCTTGAAGGTGAACCCATTCACCAATTGGGTTTCAGTGAGGGCTGATGGTGCCTCATCTCCCGCTGTTGAAGGAGGTTGCACCTGTCCCCACATATACAACATTGGCACTAGCACTTCTTCGGCCTCTGTGTTTCGGTCCTGTGCCACAGCCAAACTGCACAGCTGCAAGTCTTGGCCTTCGCGCGCAGTCTTCTTGAAAGCGCGATCATGTCTTCGACGAGCCCCACATTGCGAGCAGAACTGTATGGATGCAAATCGGAAGAGGAACGATGCACTGGGAATGCTACGCGGGGCCTGCTTTGAATTTGGGACTGCGCACAGCTTGCGACCACGAGATCTGACAGTCGCTTGTTAAGGCATTGTATGGCGAGGATGATAGCTATGTGGCAAATGATGCCACATGCGATGCTGCAGCTGACGCCAAGCAGGTTGATCGTTGCTGAACGCCCCACCAAGTCAGGGTAAAACGATGCGGTCCCCGGTGAAGCATCTAACTTGATGACGCCAAGCGGCAAGCGAGAATTCAAGTTGCAGTTAAGGACAAAGCAGGGGTGTGCACGCAAGCATGTTTGTCTGCCTGTTTGCTCATGTTTTTATACGAGTGATTGGATATGTATGTGTATGGTTGTGGTAGTGGGCCTGTATGTGGGTGGATGCACGTCGTTCTGTGTAAGACCTTGCGCCATGATGGAATCCCCGGGTCTGGATGCCCTCCGCACATTTCTCATTCCGTCGTGCTGCTGAACCAAGATCAGATCAATGCTGTCTGACTTGTGCAGCCATGCCGCACCAGTAGACACATGCAAAAATGATGGGGAGAAACGGGTGCGACTGCATCCTGCTCTCCGAAAACGAACTCCAGCTAGCAGCTCGAGTGCTTCAAGCCCAAGCTGTGTCTGTGTCCGATCTGACAACGGGGCTGGTTCAACCAACAAACAATGAAATCCGAAGCATAAGTGCTCGAGACAAGACTAGGTTGAGACTCAGTTGAACTAGGAAGTGCCACGTAAGCTTCTGCAGGGTGCTTCCTTTGGCACCGCAGACAACTTGCACACTCGTGGTGCACAGGTACAAAGAGTGGCTGCATTCGGAAAGACGGTCGCTTGAGGGCTAGCCGTCAAAAAACTGTGTTTGTGTGCGTGAGCGAATCCCCCCGTCGATGCACAAACTTGTCACGTTGCCAGCGACGGCGGGGTTTCGAACTCGGCAAGCTCCACGATGTCCTGCAGAGCAAGTTGCTCGCGCTTTGCGCTGCCATTGGCTGCCATGCCTCAGGCCCTTCCTTACAGCAGGTCCTCGGCCACCGAACCGTTGGCTATCCCATCATGGCTGACCTACGTTGTCGAATCTGAGGCTGGGAGAGATGACGGCTCTCACAGGCATGGTGCTGAACTGTCGGCATCTGGATGAACCAGCACTCCCTCCACTCCGCCCAAGCTTCTTTTGCTGTCTGTCTCCTTTCGTCCTTTGGGCCGTAGCCGTAGCGAATCTTAACGAGGGGTCGAGCCCAAGGCATAGTTCATACATCGCCGCTCCGCCGTTCGGAGCGAACCCGCGTCACCCATGCCGGGAACTGTCGTGAAACCGCAAGCAGTCCAAGCGCCAGAATCTGCTGTTCTGATGCTTATAGCAGTTGGGTTGAAGCTGTGGGGACATAGATTCGCCACCAAGCTGTGGACTACCTAAATAAGTTGTCTCCACCGGGCTCCTCAGCTTTCCCCCATCAGCTCGGCTGCAGCCTGCCCATGTTTTTTTGCACATGCGACGCCCTTGTACCTTTCTTGCCTCCGAATCAAGGCAGATACAGCACGTCCTGCCATTGCCTTCTCATGGACTGTGATGTTGGCCGCCGTTCCTGGTACAGGAGGGGCTCGTTTTCCACGTCGTCCGCGTCTTTGTGATCCTGATGGCCACAGCCAGATTGTCACCCCTCCAAAGAAGGCCACTGCCTGCCCCAGACCTAATGCCGAGCTGCCTCGTGTTGTATGCTGGCGAATCTAGAGCCTCTTCAACATCCCTTCCCTCGCCCTCTACTGTTTAGCTGGTTCCCCCTCCGTCAGGATGCGTCGTGCGCTTCATGCCATTTCGCGGCGCTCTTGACCCGTGTGCACTGTTCTTTGCCTGTTGCTCTCCCTGTCTTTCTTCTTTCTCTCGCCAGGGCTGTGGTGAGGGGTTTCCTCCCTCCTTCCCTCCTCACCACCATGGCCGGGGGAGGGGGTGATTTTGCATTATTTCCAATCTCTGTCTTTCCGCATTCCTCAAGGCTGAGAATGACAAGCCTTCCCTCTCTCTCTCTCTCTCTCTCCGTCTCTCGCTCTCTCAAGGACTTGCCACTCGATGTCCTGGTCTTCGGTATGTCGGTCGGCATTTCGCTCTTTCGTGGGCTTGGGCAGGACACAGTCTCGCCCCGGCGGCAAAAAGGCACGATCCCTCTCGGAAGCGCTCGCCTTCTTTTCGTCTAAAGTGCTGGCACTGGCGTTGACACAAATTGGACGAGATGGGCTACTTCTGACTCTTGGTCTTGGTTTGCTCGCGTGGCTTTTGTGTCGATGCTGCTGGACGACTGCTCTCGTTTCCCGTTCGGGGTCCTCCTTGCTTGGGCGTTTCAGTCGATCGGGCCTATATCCCTTCTCTCTGGTCGACTTGCTGTTGACTGGCATCAGGCTGTGAATTGTCGCAAATTCTGTCCGGTTGCTTCATTCCTTTCGTGGAGTGTTGCCAGCCTACCGAATCTACAGCTCAGCATCGCTCCCTTGACCTACGGTGGGGGAATGATGGCCGACACTTGCAGATACTGGTTTGGCACCAAAGGCGACAAGACGCCAGCCTCGGGCACCAACTCGTCTGCAGCCTGACGAGGGCAGTTGATCAGACCGAGTGACGGATGTCCGGCTCACCAGCCTACCTTACTCTTTGTTGATCCTGTGGATCCCCGACTGCCACGCCTACAAGTGGCTAGCTCATCCCCCCGACCTGGCCGACAGTATTTCCTGGGTTCCCCTGGGGCATGCCTTGTCGTCGTTGAACCCATGGCCTTCCATGCGGAGTCGCACGCCTGAAGCCGCGACATCGAACTACAGCTCAACACCCATCCTGCGGGTAGCACACACGGAGGCATTGTTCCCCCGCCTTCCGACATTACACATGGGCAAGCAAGCGACACCGGGCTAAGCTTCTCACATGTGGCTATGACGATCATCGATGCTCCCAAAACTTGTCTCGCTGCGGGGATGTCTTGGAACAGGTAGACCTGCTCAGGCTATCAAGCTTTCTGTCAAGAAACGTGAACTTGTATCGCCAGGTCAGGCAGAATCGGTTTCCATGGCTCCGGAATTTGGTGTGTCAGGCCTCGTGCAAAAAAAAGGTGTGCTCTTAGCGCAGATCGCTCAGCGTCACGAGTGTCACAGCAACCCCAATATCATCTGCGAGATCAGTGCCAGTTTCAGGCAATCCAGTCCGTTTGTCGGGGCGGAAGCGACGCAGATCCACCATGCATGTAATTCAGTTGCGGCAGTTGTGGTTCCGATTGCACTTCCCCACTTGGCCGCATTGCCTGGACTAGGAATGATGTAGGAATCTCCGCGTAGGTGAAGAGTGATGCCTTCGTGACCTCAGTGCAGGAAGCTCAGCTGCTCACTGAAAAGACTTTCTCTTGGCCGCTGCCCTGCTTTTGTTGTCAAGAGCACACGAAGACAGGCACAACAGCCGTGAAATCCCTCAATTCCTATAGCAGTCCACACATGTCAGGCCGGCGGCAGGAGCCATCCGCCAGCCAGCGATGAACTTAGTTTGCGAGCGAGCGCTACGCTGCAAAACAGTTCAAGCGTTCTCCAGGTGAAAACGCACACGTCGTTGTTGCCTACTTACCATCACGACTTGGCCAGCTCAAGTCCAGTCACAGAGCCCTGTGTCTGAGGTCTGAGGCATGCGCCAAAAAGCTGGCTGTCAACCCCGCCGCGGTGAAGTAGATCACGTAAGAGAAATGAACATGGCTCCAAACCTGTGACCACTTAACCGACTCCGAGGTCTCAGAGTCTGAACAGTCGCACCAAGACAAAGTCTACATGGTGTGCACACGACGAGCTCAATCAAGTGTGATGATGACATCGAGTGCGTCAAGCAAAGCATGCCTCGCCCACACGACGCGAGAGTCCCTGTGAGCACAGTTGCACCCCACTCGGCGGATCTAAACAAAAGCCCCACCAAAGTGGCAACAACAGCGAGTGAGAAAAAAACATCGCACCACGACGGAACAAATGTCGCAAGAACCACAAAATGCTGCGGGCTCTGCTGGGTAGTGTAATTAGGCAAACCACGCAAACGATGCAGCCTCCACATCCACCGCAGGCCCACCAGCCATGACAGACAGTGGAATAGTAGCCTTGGCATTCTTTGCCAAACATGCAACCCAGAAAGACTGTCTAACCAATACGGGCATGCACATCTGCCTGTAATGTGGGGTGACATATCACGACCAGTTGCCAGCGTCGCAAACGCATCCTGGAAAAGCTGGATCTCCAGCGGGTGGACGCCCTGGTGGCAGTCGTTGAGCAATCAGAAGAACATGGCAGCAACACTTGCCCAGGTCCCACCTCCATCATGCGCACAGCGCACGGACACACCTGGGTCGGATGCAGCTGGGATGGGCGCTTGGAGAAAGGAGGAGAAAAGGACAGGCTGAAACAGACATACTACGGGCCGTGGGCTGAAAACCGAAGCGAGGTGCAATGGGATTCCGTCCGGGCACCTCTTGCGATTGAAACTTAGTGAACGTAGAAGCTGCATGTTCAACTCTTGCCGAACTAGCCACAAGTCTTGTCCATCCGAACACGCCAGCGACAGCACCCCTCAAAATTACCCCTTCCTACTATGAAGTAGCTTCACTCATCACCAAGTGGCTGCATGAAGGCAGGCACTTATGACTGCTACCACAGTCCCCACGAAGTAATCGCTCGACCTGCCATTACTACAAGCACAAAGGTTGTTGTTATAGTCACTATTGAGATCCCCTGAACTTATTCTGGTGATCTCACATAGGACTGGAATGTGTCAGGGTCTCGCCCTTACCAATTTCACAAGAGAGAGCGGTAGCAACAAAAAGCATGCCTGACATTGCAAAACAGCCTCCTTCCATGCACGACACACTCATCCGAGATTTTGATCACCGTAAGCCAAACATGCAGGGTCACTCCGCGTCCGCTCCGCCTTCCTGGACCAGGAAGACTTCCAAATGTTTAGGCTTCTGCTTGCCGTCCGATGCAAACATCAAAACCACTCAGCTTCTTTTCAATGTGTGTGACTTTGTGTGGAGGGCACAGAAGGTGCTCTCGAAAAGTCTTTGCGACTGCCCGAACTCCCCCGCCTTCGCTGCTGTCGGGATGATCAGGGCTGTGCCGGTGAGGCACACCTCAGAGGAAGCACACCAGCACTGGACTCGAGTGACAGTTCAAGAACTCTAGAAGTATGGTACCTGCACAATGCCCATATGCAGTCCGGTGGCAATTGCCTGGAAAGCAAAGGCCCTTGGCAGGGCACAGAATCAACCGATGTGCATGCGATGAAAACATATCAATCTGAAAACTGTCAATCCTTTGACTGCTAGCGAATAAAGACAAAACTTGCTTTTAGTTTCGCCGTCCGAAAGCAAAGGAAGAGACCTCTAGTCATCGAGAGCTCTAAGAAAAAAGGAGCCTTCCTCAGCAAGAACTTGCGAGCAAAGGTGTTTCCAGCATCACCACCTGTTGCCTTCTGAGGCTCTGCTCGGGTGCTATCTTGAGATATTCGGGGTTCTTCTCGCGAACTTACGCTCTCAGAACGGTCATGACGCCAAAGCCAAGGTGCATCGACAGCTTCTCACGACGAAGGATGAAGCTGGCCAGCCTCGAAGAACTGCGGCGCCCACAACGAAATTTCGGATTGTGCATCTTTTTGACACGTGTCTTGTCGCACCGGTGCATGTCACCTGCGGGCTTAACAACTCGAAGGGTGACTCTCAGGTGCACGCAACCCACTGAGCACCGGATTGCTGTAGACAATGCCTGCAGGCAAAACTCAAGGTCGCCTTTGGAAGATCCAGAAAGTGGCGTGTATACCCAGCGTTGCACGGCGAAAGCGCTGCAGCTAGCAGCCAGAACAGTCCTGCAATCTCCTGGTTGCAAACCCATCGTACCAGCCCTGGTGATGCATGCATGCATACATTTCTTTTCTGTCTGCTCTCTTCCCTTCCTACAGCTCCCAAAATAGGCTCCAAGTGCCTGTGGCCACCCCAATAGGAAGTTTCTGCATGGCCGTCCAGCCAAATCCGAGAGCTGCCAAAAAGGCGGTGGACCGAAGTAGCAGCAAGTGCCTTGCGAGGGAAACAAGCGATAGAGCTTAGGGATTCAGGATTTCGAGGTTTAGTGAATGAGCGTTGATACATACCCCTCCTTGTGCAAATGGCGTTCTTTGCGGACTTTTGTTTTCCTGTCAAGGGACTTCTGCACTCACTTTCGCGCGACATGTTAGTAGTAATCGAAGTAGTTGTTGTAGTCGTAGTAGTCGTAGTAGTAGTAGTAGTAGTAGTAGTAGTAGTAGTAGTTAGTAGTAGTAGTAGGAGGAGGAGGAGGAGTAGGAGGCCCCCCCCCGCCTCTCCTAAACACTCGGTAAGACCACATCCATCTTACTCGGTATTTGCAGTACTTTCCTGATGCCATAGTCCCATACCCACTCCGGCTATCGAGGGCGTGGGGGGTGGGGGGTGGGGAGGGGGGTGGGTGGGGGGCATGATGACGTACTTTTTTAAGAGCACATTCATTTTACTCGGTACGAGTATTTACAATACTTTCGTGATGTTGTAGTCCAACTACCGACGATGATGATGATGGGTTCAGGCGTAGTAGAAGTAGTGGTAGTAGCAATAGTGGCAGTAGCAGTAGCAGTAGTAGTAGTGGTGGTGGTGGTGGTGGTAGTAGTAGTAGTAGCAGCAACAGTAGTAGCAGTAGCGGTAGCAGCGTGGCGGTTGCATAAAACGTGGACATCACATGAGCTGAGGAGCTGCAAATCGCTCGACTTCAATTTTTGACGCGGTGCAGCAGTACACGGCGGGGCCCCAAAAACAATTCCAGTGCTGACTTAAAGAGAAGCCTAGGTCGCAAACCCATGCAAAAGGGTGCCATGGCCCTAAACCCTAAACCCTCGGTCGCAAACCCATGGCAAAAAGGGGTGCCATGGTCTTTTTGATGCACTTTGAAAGGGCGGGTAGGCTCGGCACATCTCGAGCAGATCGGACTTCGACTGTTACAAAGGACACCCCAAACCAGACACCTTTTTTCAAAGCACATACTAACCATTTCATATTAGTTAAAGGCACGAACTGCAAAAGTGATTGGCTTGGAGTTTCTATGCAAGAGCTCAGTCAATGGTAGGTCACGAAGGTGTGCTGCATCTCTGCATCCACGAGCATGACAGCAGCTGTGTTGTCGAACTCGCCGACGTAGTTGGCGCAGCTGAACAGAGTCACAAGCTTCCGATCCGCAAAATACTCATAGCCGTCTTCAACCACTTGACTGGTTCGGCAGATCAAGTCTAGACTGTTCCGTTCCAGGAAACCGTGCACGATGTCCTCCCCAAAAACGTAGGAGACACCTTTGTCCATCTCCGCCCATCCTCTCACACCAGTCTCTGGATCCGCCCACAGGAGGTCGCAAAGAAGTCCCGTGTCAGGGACTTCTGTGGGCCGATTGATCTTGCCGAGCTGATCCAGTGTGAGAAGTTCGGGAGAAAGACCTGACGAGACACAGAAAATCCGGCTTCGAATCAATGCACAGATCGGCATGCAGTTCATGGTCTGAATCATCCGCTTCCACAGATGGACATGGTACCGGCGTTTGCACTCGTCGTAGAAGCCGTAAACTCGACTGATGCTTGCACATTCCTGCTTGCCGCGGAGTAGAAACACGCTGCACGGATGCCGGCACTTGAAGCAATAAAGGAGCGTCAGAAGATCCACCCCCTGTATAGGCATCCGACCTCGGCTAACATAGTTGCCAAGAAAGAGGTACTGCACTTCTCCCGGCTCACCACACCTCTCGATGATCTGGTTCAGCTGGCCGACGGAGGAGGCCAGGGTACCACCAACAACCAGCGGGGGCTCTAGCTCCAAGAGAACAGGCTCCCGCATGAAGATCTCCTCCACGAGATCACATAGGATCCGGATCTCTCCCTCTGGCAGACCAGCCTTTTCTGTGGGCATTTCCTGGCGCCTGAGGCAGGTAATGTGACCATCCAAATCCACACTTTTCGCAATCATGTAGATCGAGACAGCTCCACTCCACCCCAGGGCCGCTCCAGTCTCCGTGTCTTCCAGCACGCGGTCGTTGTACGTCAGAGACTGCCGCAGCCCTGGCAGTCGGATCTTGCGAGCCAACTCCTCCTTCAGTGCCTTCATCGTAACCTCGGGCTCTGCAGTCAGCCTGGCAATCTCACCTCCTCCCAGGTTCAGCACCGTGATCTCAATGGAGCTGCTGCCAGCAGCCATTGCTTTGTGACGGGCGGCCGTGCAGCCCATACGCTGAACTTGCACTAAGCCCCGGTTTATTTTGTTAAGGTTTTCGAGGATGAACCCCTAAATCATCCGGCAGCCTGAAAGGGAGCCTTGGTTGATGTGCACATTCTCCCGTAAAACCAGGTCATTCCTAGAGTCTTAAGCTGGCCGTGGTCAAAAGGGGGCAGACTTCTGTCATTTTGGCTTCGATGTTGTCTTCAGAACGCTTTCAATGTCCGATGCCCTAGCAGAGCCACATTATTCTGCTGATAGGCCTTCAAACCATGCGCGCTGGTGCTGCTGCAGCTTTTGTTGCTAAAAATGTTGCTGTGGTTGTTATGGTTGTGATTGTCCTTCTCGTTGTACTGGTGGTGGCAGCCGCAATAGTAGTAGCGGTGATGGTGGTGGTAGGAGTAGCAGCAGGAGGAGGTGTAGTGGGCCTCAGAACTCATGTAGTGCTTCGGAACAAAACGAAAGCAAAGGGGCTCACAGGACAAAAGGGGAGCGGGACGAGATCGGAAGGGTGAGGGTGAAAAAAAGCAGACAAATGGAGGAGAAAAGCAGAGAAGCAACAACACAAACAGGCAGACACCAAAAAATGCATGAAAACAAAAAACTCAATACACATATCAAATCAAAAGTAAAACGCCTCAAAAAGCACATACCTCCGTTTGTGCTTGTTGTGTGGCAGGTCTTTCTCCACAGTGGAGCTTACATGGACGACTGATTGATTGTTCTTGCAAACGTAGGGGGCTATGGCATTGACAGCAGAATGTGTTACATCAGGTCTGTGCTTCGTGCTGGGGTGTCAGGCAGTGTTCTTCAGAAGCTGCTGAACGGCCACTGTAGGTTCTTCAATGATCCCAGACGTAGGCTTATGACCGAAAGAAGCTCCGTGATAGATAACTTGAGGGCATGAAAACCTGGAAGGCGAATTGCAGCCATGTCTCTGCTGTCCAGGAACGCCAAAAAAACGAAGATTGTGGCCTGGAGGTAGGCATGGAAGTTAAGCTACGATGACTCGATGTCTGGGCTGGGCTCCAAACCTTTCCAGCGCAGCACTGACATGACGAGGGTCATAATGCAGCATTGCAACCCGAAGCGGACCTGCATCACCTCGGACGGAGCAAGGATAAAACAACGGAAAGAACAGTCCAGTTTTGGTCTTTTGACTGCACTTAGCAAAGCCATGCAGTTGGGTCAATTTCTTAACATCGCCAAGGACTCTTTGACTTTCAGTTAAGGTCATGCCAAGATGCATCGATCAGTGGGACTCCCTTGAGGAGCCTTACGAACCTCATGTCATGATACCATCGCAAGTCTCTGACTAGTGGAATGATGCCGTGAGTCGGCATGAGTGCAGGAGCGGGACCGGTTGTGTGGCCGTGCCGGACTCTACTTTCCCTTCGGTGGGCGCGAGGGGCTGCGGCCCCGCGCAAGTTGCTGTTGTGGGGCAAACAACCTTCCTTCCGCACAGCCAAAATATGCGAGGAGCTCAAACTCTTGCTTTTGGCCTACAACCACTCTACCCACTAGTTCAGTGCTTCGTGGTTCTCAGCTTTGGCAAAGGCTTGCAAATGCACCCGGTTCTGCACAGAAACCAGATAGGGGCCACGAACGCGAATGCAGACACGCGCAACGCAGATATCGTCAAAAAAAATAAGTAGAAGGAAAGGCATATTCATACGACCGA